AAGGATGCCGGGCGTTTGGACTTGGCGTTGGTAACCGGCTGTCAGGACAGCGGCTGGTCTCAGGTGCTCGGGGCGCTTCCCAGGCATGTTTTCAGATCTCGAAGACCCTGTGCGCCCACACTATTTAAGCTGGGTCCCCACGGAAGTTGCAGACTGAGGCGCCTTTGTTCTTGCTAAATGACTCATGGAGGCTCTTGACAAGCGGACGAAACAGACACGTTTTGATGGGGAAAATACATGAAGAATGCTGCTATTTTTTTTTTTTTCCCAAATAGCCATCAGCCCATCTAATGTAGGCCAATGAGGGCAAATGTGCCCAAAGCTCCCAGCTGACCTTCCCCGTGAGGATCTTGTGCCCTGGTCCTTGGCCCAGGCTGGGGGGCTGGAGGGGTGAGGAGCCTGACCCTGGTGGGAAAGGGAAGCCAGCTTTCCCAGGGCTGTTTAGAAAAGCTGCTGTGTCTACAGTCTGCTGTGTGTCCAAGGCAAATCACTTTCTGTAGCGTGTAATGGGATAATCACGAGTTCTTTTATGCAGCGCTTACTGTATGTACAGCACAGTTGTGTGCGGCAATTCAATTTTCCTAGCCTCCTGGGGCTTGGAAAAAGTAAGTGACTTTCCCAACAGAGGACATCTCTGTGGGGACAACCAGGCAGCTGCAGTGTCTATCTAGACTAGTGGTTCTCAACCTGTGGGTCATGACCCCTTTGACAAACCTCTGTCTCCAAAAATATTTAAGATTCATAATAGTAGCAAAATTAGTTCTGAAGTAGCAACAAAAATAATTTTATGGTGGGGGCGGGGTCACCACAACATGAGGGACTGTAAAGGGTCACAGCATGAGGAAGGCTAAGAACCACTGCTCTAAACTATACCTGATCGACAAACATTTTCCTAAATTTTATTTATTTTTATGTGGATGGGTGTTTTGCTTTGCTTCCACATGAGTGTCTGGTAACCTCTGAGGCCAGAAGAGGGCTTAGGATCGATCCCCCTGGGCCCGGAAGTACAGATGGTGATGAGCTGCCATGCAGGTGCTGGGAATCAAACCTAGATCCTCTGCAGGAGCAGCCAGTGCTCCTAACTGCTGAGCCATCTCTCCAGCCCCTCACTTAACCTTTCTGAGGCTTGGCTTCCCACTGTGCAGTAGGAGGTGGGTGACGCTGTTATTGGAGGGGACCTTTGGCAAACTTGAACTGATCTGGACCCTGGCGAGGCCTATACGTCTGCGCAGGCCTTATCCGGTTCCCCCAGGCTCAGGAGCCCTCTGTGTATACAATGTTAGGTGGAGAAGCGGAAAAAAGCAGCGACAGTTTCCATGGGCCTCCAGCATATCCTGATCTGTTGTTATGAACACTGCCTGAATGGATAGCGATGGTAAATGCATCCCTCACACACACACAGCCAACAGGAACCCATCGGCTGTGAACCGCAATGCTCCCTGCCAAGCATAGACAAATGCAGTTCCTGCGTCTGTCAACCTAGGTTTCATCACCGGGGAGCTCAGCTTGCCCCGGGTTTTCAGGGGGTTTCCAGGAAACGCGGCTGGTTTGCATCAACCTCTCTGAGTGGGGGAAATCCCGTGTTGACAAAGGGGAAGCAAGAACAAATCACAGTGAGACAGGCACAGGAAGCAGCAGCGCTGTGATTTCTGGCCCTGGGTGGGAGTTATCCGGGGCAGCTCTGGCCCTGCAGCTCGATCTCTGGCTCCTGAATGAGAAGGAAATGATATTCACGTGGAGGGCAGGGGTCCCTGTAAATGACTTGTTCTGGGTGGGCATTCCTGACCACATTACCTCCTCTCCTTTTATCCCCATCCTAATTAGAGAAGTCCTGTGGAAAATCCTTCACACTTACTAGGGGGGGTTACCCACGGAGGTGGCAGTAGACGGACTCGTCCTGCTTACTCGTGTGTGGCACTGGTGTCAACCTCCCTGTGACTATGCATGACTCCTAGGTCCACCCTCAGGAAGCCAGGCATGTGGTAACCCTCTGTGACTCCCCCGCTCCATCAATCCTCCTCTTGCTAGTGGGTAGGCCCGCAAGCCAACCAACGTCATTTTCTTGTGATTACGTCCCTTAGAATTGGGCTTTGATCTCTCAGAACAGAAAGGGCCCTGACAAATGCAGAGGGACTTATGTACTATGTAGAGTGCCACACTGTGTGCATGGTAGGGTGCGGTAGGAAGAGGAGAGCCCTGGGAGGTGTTGGAGCACACAGGGGCATTCTTGTGTGTGTTCTGTCAGCCGCCGCCGGCATGTCTCCTAGGTGCTCCTAGCCTTGTGTTCCTGTGTTATGTCCACATCCCAAGTGTGGTCTTCCTAGGAACACTCTCTGGTTTCGATCTGTAATCAGTTATTGACTGCTGATTATGTGGGAAGATGCTGTGTGTGAAGTCCCCATCCACATAAGGTGCTTAGGGCAAGACAGGTCAAAAATCTATTGCTAGAAAACCAAGATGCTTTTAACAGGCTTCAGGAGTTCCAGCAGTCTGAATAGCGATATAGATGGCCCTCCTGGGTGGCTCTGGGAGCCCAGCTGTGAGGCTGGAAGGTGACAGGAAGGACAAACTGGTTGGCCTGGTGCCCTACTAAGCACAAGAGAAAATGGGAGAGACTCACTAAGCAGAAAGCACGGAGCTGCTTGGGGGCAATTTGATTGGCCACTCAGTGAGCTGCAGAGAGGGGGTCATTGCAGGAGAGGCCCAGGACAAGTGATGAGTCTAACAGGCAGTTAGCTTAGTCACATGGCCCTTAGCGTCAGGTGGGGAGGCACAGAGAAATGCCTCCTCATGTCTTCCAGAGGCTGACTTGAGGCACGGTGTCTAGGTAGCACTTCAAAACCAGAGAATGAGGCCAAGTCCAGCCTTGCTCTGTAACAGTGAGCACACCACTTCACCCTTCTGAATTTCCTGTCACTCATTGCTTACCCTTTACATATCTGTTATTAGTGTGGTGATAAAAATGGACAAAATATATAAGCACATTTTCAAAAAAACCTGCAAATATAAGGAACAGAAATTCATGGACTGGAACTTTGGGATCATTAGGTTTTTCTGGAATAACTATAAAGACAGATGGAATTTGGGGCCCAAATGATGGAAATAACCTTGCAGGTTTAAGCTAGACCCTAGCCCCGTGATGGAGTGACAGCTTGAGTGCGCATTTCCCTCCCATATGGTGCTGCTGTCCCAAGGCAAAGCCTGCCACTCAGGAAACATGGCCTTTTAAAACTTCATCTATACAAGAAAAGAAGTCAATTATCTCTTCCCAGACATCGCTTCCCTGGGTGATAGACAGGAGCTATTAGTATGTCCTTGGCAAAGACCTTGCCATGTTTTAATACTGCCTTCCCAGCTGGACTGTTCCTGGCCCCGACCCTTCTGGGGACCCAAGTCTGGGACCTGCAGACTCTGTGGAAACTTTCCAACCTCACTCAGGCTCCCAAAGTCTCTGCTGTGGGCCCTGGAGGGACTTGGGTGCCCTTGGTGCTCATTACTCCATGTGTGATAGCAGGGGCATGAGATAAAGAGCTCCCTGATGTGAGCAGAGCCCTGTGCTGGTCCCCTCTCTGCAGAGCAACCTTGGACGTGTGATGGTAAAGATGGAGCAAGCTGGTGGCTGAGACCTATTTGAGATCACATTCTATTTTAATCTGTTCAGCGAGGCAGCTATGTCCAGTCTCGGTGGGACTGACTGACCATCCAGCCTCCACAGAGAAATCCTTAATGCTGAAGCTAGGAAGTAGGGGGCTAGGGTGGGGGTCAGATTGCAAGGCCATGCCTAGTCCTGGCTTCTTCTCCAGGAGAATTAGTGGTTGGGTATCAGTATCCTCATTATTGGTCAGGTGGTAAAGGTGGTCAGGAGGACCCTGAAGTGCTGTCTCCACGAGGAGGGAGGCTTCTGGCACATTCCCTCCCCCCAATGGACAAACCAAACACAGTCGTCCCTTCTCGAGTCTGATTCACGAGGCTCGTTTCTTTCCTTGCCAAGGAAGGTGCAATGTGGAGCTAGCTTAACTTGAAAAGGGACATTCCTTTAGCTTAGGTTATCAGGGTCAGTGGTAGGGTCTCCGTATGGCCCCTGATCCCTACAGTCTGACTTACACAGTCTTGAAGAAGGACACCCAGCCAGCAGGGAAGCAAGTGGGCTTTACAGATGGGCAAACACTAAGTAATGTCAGCTCATGGAGCCAGTTGACCTGTCTGTAAGGTGTGCACGGAGAACCTATATCTCATGGACAGTTAGGACGATGGAATTTAACAGAATGCGCGCCCAACTTCATCTGTACATAAAAAGAAGTCAATTATCTCTTCCCAGACATCGCTTCCCTGGGTGATAGACAGGAGCTATTCGTGTACAATTAGGGCTACAGGGGCTATTTCTCATTCAAACCAGCACCCTCAGGCTGTCACTCCATCGTGGGGCTGGGGTCTATCTTAGACCTGCAAGGTTATTTCCATCATTTGGGCCCCAAATTCCATCTGTCTTTATAGTTATCCCCAGAAAAACCTAATGATCCCAAAGTTCCAGTCCATGAATTTCTGTTCCTTATATTTGCAGGTTTTTTTGAAAATGTGCTTATATATTTTGTCCATTTTTATCACCACACTAATAACAGATATGTAAAGGGTAAGCAATAAGTGACAGGGTTTCACCCAGGCTGCCTGTTAGGCACACGAATTGGGGGAGGGTGTAGGGGCACAGCACTGATGTCTCCTCTGAAATTCAGAAGGGTGAAGTGGTGTGCTCACTGTTATAGAGCAAGGCTGGACTTAGCCTCAATCTCTGGTTTTGAAGTGCTGCCTAGACACCGTGCCCCAAATCAGCCTCTGGAAGACATGAAGAGGCATTTCTCTGTGCCTCCCCACCTGATGCTAAGGGCCATGTGACTAAGCTAACTGCCTGTTAGACTCACAACTTGTCCTGGGCCTCTCCTGCAATGACCCCCCCTCCCCCCGCCGCTCACTGAGTGGACAGTCAAGTTGCCCCCCAAGCAGCTCCTTGTCTTCCTTTCTGCTTAGTGGGTCTCCCCCATTTTTCTCTTATAGGGCACCAGGGCACATTTCCTGAGTGGCAAGTTTTGCCTTGGGACAGCAGTGCCATATAGAAGGGAGTCTCAGGTGAGAGCCCAGTGACTCCTCCTCTGAGGGAATGTTGACAGTCCACAGGCTGCTTCTGATGGCCTGAGAGCCCGTATGCTTGATCTGATGATGGCAACATCTGTTTTATTCAGAGGGCCACGTTCTCCAACAACACACACCTTATATATAACATGACCTACCGGCCAGTATTCCAGTATCATGACTCCTGCTGTTCAACTTAGTCCTTGGGACCCAGCACTCTGGGTTGGGCTTAGCCTTGTGCCTAGTAGAACAGCAACAGCAGGCATGGGACTGAATGACCCAGGTCCATCTTCTGCAGGGCCCTTTCTGCTTCTCATGGCAACTGCTCTTCCATCTTTGAGTCCAGGCTCTTGGGCATCCTGAAGACAGAGGCTCGGACACAGGTCTTAGCACCAAAAATACTCTCACCCAGCAATTCAACGTTCCTTCTTCTGAGCGCTCGTGCTCCAGACCCAGAGAACTTAGCGTCACTCCTGTTTACCGTGAAGGGATGATCATCAGGCTACATACAATAATTATTTTACTTATATGCTAAACTCTATTCAATAGATGGCTATGAAATTACAAGATGGAAAACAATTCTGTGTGCCAAGTATTTTTGGAAACATAATAATTTGAATGGCAGGTGGCAACCCCTTAGACACAAACACCATGGAGCGCACTAAAGCAGCCGTAATAGAGGCCGTGCTGTAACAGGTTTCATGTAAAACAGATCCCTAAGGACCAGGGAGTGTTTGCTCCCAGAGGAGTCCTAAAATGTAATCTAGACACATATTTATTTATTTACTTACTTACTCTATTCGTAAAAACAGGGTCTCAATATAACCTAGGCTGACCTCCATCTTGTTACATAATGGGTGGAGGATGGTCTTGAACTTTTGACCTTGCCTCCACCCTTCAAAGGCTGGCATGACTTAGCATGTACCACCACACCCATTTTACGCATTGATGGGACTTGAACCCAGGGCTGAGCAATTACTCTACTAACTGAGCTATATCCCCAGTTAGGCATGTATTCATTCCACTGCACAGATCTTGAAAAAGTTAGAAGAGCCTGGATGCCAAATGCCTTGCCATGGGCTTTACCATTATAACCGCCTTTCCTTCGGCACATACAGCCTGCTCCGGCTCCAGGGATGCAGGCACTGTGGTAAGCCCAGCTATAATAACTGACATGCTATAAAACTCCAAAGAATTATGGAAAGCCCACAATCTGCCTTTCTCGTTGCTGCCAAAGAATGTGCTTTACATTTTATTGCCTGGGAAGATAAAATCGAACATGGCGTTTGATCTGGGGCTTGCTCTGCTAATTTGAAGCCCTCCTACCTTGTGTGTGCTTGGGTGGCATGGGGCCCCTTCTTTGCCTCTTAAATTGCGGATCACTGGGGCAGAGGCTGTGGCTTTTCACAGGCGAGTGCCCAGGGAGAGCTTGCTTAACTGAATCCCTCCACCCTCCTGTTTTCAACGCCTCCCTATGCCTGCGTCCTCCTGAGAGCCTGAGAACACCAGGGGTGCGTGAAATCACTTGCTTTGTGATCTCATCCTCTTCTCTGCATCTCCAAATCCTATCAACGCCAAGAAGCCACCTCACACGCTGGCAGTCAGAAGGGCCCTTCTCGGAGCCAGAGATGACTCAGCGGTCAATGAGAGATGACTCAGCAGTCAAGAGTTATTACTCCTTCAGAAGATCTCAGTTCACTTCCCAGCCTTCCCATCTGGGGGCTCACAACAAGGGGCTCACACTCTCTTCTGGTTTCCGTGGGAAGCTGCACTCATAGGAACATACAGTCACACACACATACACGTAATCAAAATTTAAAACAATCAAAATGTGTAAAAAGAAAAAAAAAAAAAAAAAGAGCAAGGCCTTTAATCCCAGCACTCGGGAGGCAGAGGCAAGGGGATCTCTGTGATTTGAGGCCAGCCTGGTCTATAGAGTGAGTTCCAGGACAAGACCTTCTATTGTAGGTCATGGGTATTCCCCTGCATGCTTCAGCCCTTGAAGAGTGAGAATCCAGACTGGAATCCTAAATTACGCAATACTTCTTTAGCTTTGTAAGCTGCACAGTGGCAATTAGAGTACACACACTGTGAAGGCTTTGTGAGGATAAAATGTGCAAAGTAGAGTCACGGCTAGGCGCGAAAGTGACGCTCAGACCAGTGACATGGCTCAGTGGGCCAAAGTGCCTGAGTGCAAGCCTGACCCCTTGAGTCTGATCCCCGGAACTCACAGGAGAGGGAGGAAACTCACCCCCGAAAGTGGTGCTCTGACCTTCACATGCATCCTGCGGCATTTCTGGGCTAATAATGATAATAATAATAATAAATGATCTTAAGTAAAATAAAAAATATTAGAAAAGGGGTGCTTCTTGAACATGTTGAGAGAATGAATGAATGAATCCATTTTCAAGGATTTGTACATAGAAATAAATTTACCATTTCAGCCAAGATGTTCCATACACTCCAGGTTCCCAAACTGCTTCTTCCTAGATTTGCTTAATCCTAACTGAAATCCTAGTTAGAAAATCCTAAGTCACAAATAATAAAAGAAGTCAAGCTGCTCACAACTTTGTCACTCAGGCCCTCCTCCTGCTCCCCTAACAAACACCTTCACTGCTTCCCGCCAGTGTGGAGGAGCTCTTTGCGTCCTGAGGGAAGCGCCTGTTCCTCTGGTCTCTCCGATGCCACCTACCTTCCACAAAGCCCGGGAAATCTACGGTCGGATCTTTTATTTTATTTATTTTACATAAACATTCAGGATGCTACAAACATCCTTTTATTTAGAACATTTTATCACTTCTATGTTTTTGAGACCAGTGTTATTTGTAGAACAAAACTTCAGACTAAAGGAGATAAAATACATATATATAACTGCCTTCAAAACTGGAAGGGGTAACCCTGAGAGAGAATAAGCTTCCACAGTTGGACCTTGATGGGGCCCTTGGTGGACAGGGCCCTGAGCAGACCCGTGCCCAGCCCTACGTACTCATCCAAGGGACCCCCTGTGTCGTGCAATATCGGAAGAATGCTCAAAACTCTCCTCCTGGGGCTGGGAACAGAGTGGCAGAGTGCTTGCCTAGAAAGCTTAAGACCCCGGGTTTGGTCCCCAGGGCAACAACAACAAAAGCCAAAAAAAAAAAAGCAACAGAAATAAACCTCACCGAGCCTTCCTCTTCCCAGAAGAAAACCCTCTCGTCCTCTCCTCTAGAAGAAGCCTGTCTGTTGAAACGTGATACACGAGAAACGCACTGAGTCCACCCAGCCCTCACGAGATTCCTAGGTCTTGGGTGGACAGCATCATCCAGGAGAGAAAGACAGTGAATAGATGGAATTATCTAGGACTCAAAGGAGGAACTTTGTGTCCTCCCTGCCCCTGCCCCAGTATAAATTTGTCCATTCAGAGGATACAATTAAAGCAAGTCCTGGGTCTTAGGGACATAAAGTTGAAAGAAATACACCCAATCCCTTGCAAACCCATCATCTAGTGCCAAGGACGTGTAAGCGGGAGGTGCTGTGTGTTACTGTTTTCAGGTCGTGGTTGCTAGGCCCTGTTCCTTTGGGCATGCCGCAACTTAGTACATCACGGTAGCAGCATGTAGCCGGTGATACTGTTCATCTCATGGCAGTCAGAAAGGTGGGGGGGGGGGGGCAAGGTCTCAACATCCCCTCAAAGGTTTGCTCCCAATGACCTAACTTTCTCCCATTAGGAGCTACCTAGGGAGCGAGCCTTCAAAACTCGGGGCTTTGGCAGACATTTCCCATCTAAACTACAGCACGCTATCGCAGAACAAGATGCCGTGGCAACCGTTGGAGATGTGTGCTCAGCTCTACAATGGCAGAAGGGAAGGGGTGCTCTGTGTTTTACAGCTTGCAGGCTGACTTTGGGAACACGGGTATGAACTCACCAGGTAGACTGAGGTGGAAGACCTCCCCGGTGGACGAAAGTCATAAAGGCTTACGTTGAGCATAGAAAAGACCTTGTGGTGATCTGGGAAGCTATGAGTGGTTCAAGGCATTCTCCCCTCCACCCCCACCCTGAGACAGACTTTCAGTATGTAGCCATGGTTGTCATGGAACTCACTCTGTAGACCAAGCTGGCCTCGAACTCACAGAGATCCACCTGCCTCCGCCTCCCAAGTGCTGGGTTTAAAGGTGTATGCTGCCACCACGGCCAGCTTTCAAGGCATTCTTTCATTCACAGCCAGAGAGATACTTGGAAAGTCTTGAAGCGGTGTGGTAACTCTTCATCAGCAGTGACCTAAGTTTGAGCCAGAGAACCAACTCCTGCAAGTTGTCCTCTGACCTCACGCTAATGCATGTGCACACTCCCATGCCCATGTGCAATGCCCCCCCCCCACTAAATACATAGATAAATAAAGCAGGAACTGAGTGAAAGAATGACTGAGTCAATGGACTGAGTCAACCTCTGGATATAAGCAGGGTTGGGGAAATTAGGCAGCACAGTCAGGCAGTCTGGGCCGTGAAAGATCTCTTAGAGCATACTGAAGAATTTAGGCTTTATTCATAGACTGTAGGGAGCCACTGGGAGATTTTAAGCCATTTAAAACTACATTTGCATTTTAGAAGGATCACTGTTGGAAAGATCCTGGCAGCCAGTAAGCAGGGTGGTTAGACCGTTGACTAACCCAGAGACGGGAAGATTTCTTATAAGGGGACATTTGTAAATGAAGGAGGGCCTGCACGGATAAGGGGCGGCACAATGGATAATGAAGGTTCAGGAGCACAGTGCTGTGGGTAATAAATAGAAAAGTTCAATCTGGTGACAACGGGATTTGTGGAAGGAGGAAAAAGATGACTCAAAGTGGTACTGAAGCTTCTGCCTGGACAACTAAGGGCAAAGAACAAAGAATGAACAATGGCCAAGAGAACTGGCCATTCCTGGTGGGTTGGCATTCACCAGGACCTCCATCAAAGTGAGCTGTGTCTCTCTACTAACTAATCTGAGCAAAGGCTCTGTCTCAGTCAGTGTTCTATTGCTGTGAGGAGGCACCATGACCATGGCAATTCTTACAACAAAAAACATTCAACTGAGGTGGTTTACATTTCAGAGGCTCAGTCCCTTATCATCATGGCGGGGAGCATGGTGGTGTGCAGGCAGACATGGTGCTGGCTACATCTTGATCAGAAGGCAACAGGAAGTGGTCTAAGACAGTGGGCGTGGCGTGAGCATATATGAGACCTCAAAGCCTACCTCCACAGTGACACACTTCCTCCAACAAGACCACACCTACTCCACCAAGGCCACACCTCCTAAGAGTGCTGCTCCTTAAGAGCAAATGGGGGCCAATTACATTCAAACGCCCACCTGTCTTCGTTAGGGTTACTGTCGCTGTGATGAAACACCACAAACCAACCGACTTCAAATCACAGGTCATCACTGAAGGAAGTCAAGACAGGAACTCACACAGGGCAGGATCCTGGAGGCAGGAGCTGATGCAGAGGCCATGAAGGGTTGCTGTTTACTGGTGCTCAGCCAGCTTTCTCATAGAACCCAGGACCACCAGCCCAGGGATGGCACCACCCACCATGGGCTGGGCCCTCCCCCATCAATCACTAATTAAGAAAATACCCTCCAGCTGGATCAATGGAGTTCCCCTCCTCTCAGATGGATGACTCTAGCTTGTGTCAGGTTGGCGTAGAACCAGCCAGGACAGGATCTGTGGGGTCTTTTGCTCTGTTGAGATTCAGACTCCACGGGCTTTGTGTCCCCTGCCAGGTGAAGGAGGACGGTCATTCCTGGCTTTACATCACGGCTCTGCCCTGGTTTGGTGGTGAGCAGCATCTTCCAGAGGTGCTGTCCGCTCCTAGGAGCCTGGGGCTGGACTGCTGTGTCATCTTTCCTGGAGCAAAGCACAAAGGCCGCATTCACCCGCTGGCATGACCCTGCTGTCAAATCCCTTGGTCTCTGCCTCGCTGGGCACCCATCTCCGGCTAATTACTCAAAGGGACCCAGAGTGCCCAACCAGCCATTTCTACAGGTCTGGCCCAACAGGGACCTTCTTTACCACACTCAGGGGGTTCTGCCCAGAGGAGGGTTCAGGGCATGACCCTAGGGAGGCTGGGAGCCCCTGAGGAAACTTTGACCCAGGACAGGAGCTGACTGCAGCGTTCACTTCTTGGCTCTGGTAAGTGGGACTCACCAAAATGCAATGCAGAGTCGACCAGTGAGGTCAGTATTGGCTGTGAACCCCAAGTTGAATGGGAGAGGCCAGCGGGGAGAGGAAAGGGGTGCTAGAACAAATGGAACCAGGGTGTAGGCCTGTTTTTAAAGCACAGACAAAAAAAAAAAAGGGAACGTCTGGGGGCAAAGTGCCTGGCCCCCCAAGGCTGTTGGGGGGCTGCTGCTGGAGGCAGTTTTCCAAGTAAATCAAAAAGCCCTTGGGGAGCAATCTACAAGCCCTTTGCAGAGCCCTGCATACAGCCTCAGACGCCAGGAATTCCACAGGACTGAGGAAACGAAGTCTGTGTAGAGACTAGGTCTGCTCTGTGGTGATTTGGGCATTACTTCCACTTACAGGCAGCGCAGAATCCCACAAGCCGATTCCCCCGCCCTAGACACATACCGGGAGGGCGGGAGAGTTATCTAAGCACGGACATCAGACACGTTCAGATCCACTGGGAACACTTTCGGTCTTAAAAACACGTCTTATTACATTCGTCTGTGCACGCACACACTTGCGAGGAGGTCAGAGGACAGCCTGCAGGAGTTGGTTCTTGCTTCCACCGTGTTGGTTCTGAGAACGGAACTCACGTTGTCAGGCAGGGTGGCAAGGGCTTTTACCCACCACACTGTCTTTCTGGCCCATGCTTATTCTTGAATCCTTGTTTTATAGATGGGTCCTTGGAGATTTGCTCGTGGAATCTCCGCTCACTTACAAACTTACCTCCAGGAATGGCCCCATGCCTGCATACACTCTCAAAGAAACTCCCAAAGCACCGGCTTTGAGCTTCTCCACCCAAATACCAGATAGAGCTGCAGAAATTTGTTTGACGGAAAATCTCCCGAAGCACTGTTAAGCATACAAAGTGCCTCAGCCCCTCGTCCCGAAGACTAACTTTCACAGGTCTTTGTAAGGCCTCCTGAAATCTAAATTTTGAAAATGACCCATGGCCTGGGCCCGGGGAGATGGCTCAGCGGGCGAGTGTGCAAGCGTGACTTGAGTTCAAATCCTTGCACACATGTAAAAAACCAGGCATGGCCGTGCACATCCCTGTCCGGTGCTATGGAGGCAGGCTGGTTGCGGCTTTCTGGCTGCTTGTCAAGCCCCACATTCAATATGAGAGACCTTGTCCAAAGCAATCGAGTAGACAGGACAGACCGGGACACCCAATAACCTCCACTGGCCTTTGCATGGGTGTGTGTATGTGTGTGGGCGCCCACACACACGTGTGTGTATACACCACACACAAATACAAACACATACACACAAACACATTTTTTTTTTCCGAGACAGAGTTTCTCTGTGTAGCCCTGGCTGTCCTAGAACTCGCTCTGTAGACCAGGCTGGCCTCAAACTCACAGAGATCTGCCTGCCTCTGCCTCCCAAGTGCTGAGACTAAAGGTGTGCACCACCACCACCTTGCTAACAAACACAAATTAAAAATGAAGAAATGGGCTGGGTGGCGGTGGCACACGCCTTTAATCCCAGCACTCGGGAGGCAGAGCCAGGCGGATGGATCTCTGTGAGTTTGAGGCCAGCCTGGTCTACAGAGTGAGATCCAGGACAGGCACAAAAACTGCACAGAGAAACCTTGTCTCGAAAAACAAAAACAAAACAAAACAAAACAAAAATGAAGAAATGGGCTGAAAAGATGGTTGAGCAGTTTAGAGCATCCATATCAGGTGGTCCCAAGGCATCCAGCACCCCCTTCTGGACTCTGGAGTACCTGTATGCCCGTGTATACATACCCTCACGCAGACACACACATATACACATAATTAAAAGTAAAATAAATCTAGAAAGTAAGCAAGCAAAAGAGTCCTTGGAAACTTGTGATTAGGGGCATGAGTGCACACCTGGGCCTAGACCATGGTCATTGCAACCACAGCCCCAGTAGACGAGAAAAGATGCTGAGTGCTGTGCCTGTCGGGACCTGGGAATAGAGAGGCCTAGGCTGGCCATGAGGAAAGACACAGCACTCTGAGCAGGTGGGGAGGTGCGGTTTTGCTGACAGTTCTGTACTTTACATCCACAGCCCATCTCTGGCTAACACCTTTGGAATAACGTAGGAATGCTGATGGGACAATGAATCTGGAGGCAAGGGCCGCTTGTACAGAATCCACTTGAGACCAAGTGGCAGGGCGAAATACGCTAGTCCAGAGAGTCAGGGAAAAACTAGCTTAGGGTAGACAGAGTTAGCATCCCTTCAAAGTCAGATCATGTCAGTCCATGGAGCATGTTGCCTAGTGGCCCAGCATCTGTCCCCTGGGTCATCCTGTGCCCTGCTCGGTGGGCTGAAGTTTGCCTCTGTAAAGGGCATTCATGTCATGAAGGCTGAGCAGCACCTCTGTAGACACTGTCTCAGCTTGTCACCTGGTCTCCAGGGTCACACACAGCACCTAGCATGGCTACATCATCTACATGTATGGGCTTAATGTCTCTGTAGGATTCTGCATTGACCCCAGGGCTTCTGGATTTTGATGGAGGTTTCTGACTGAACTGACCAATGGCACTCTCAATCACAGCAATATTTGATTCACAGACTGAAATTCTAACCTCCAACAACCTCACTGTGGGATCATACTTGGAACTGAGTCACTGCAGATGTCGTTACTAAAGATGAGGTCATTCAGGATAAGGTGGGTCTTTAATTAAACATGATTGCTGTAGTGGTTTGAATGAGATGTCTCCTATGGTTTTTTTTTTTTTTGTGGGGAGAAGGATGTTGAGATAGGGTTTCACTGTGTTGCCCTGGCTGTCCTGGAACTTGCTATGTAGACCAGGCTGGCCTCAAACTCATAGAGCTCCACCTCCCTGCTGAGTGCTGGGATTAAAAGCATGTATCCCCATGTCTGGTCTTCCCATAGTCATTTGCACCTTTGGTCCCCAATTGGTGGTGACGTTTGGGAAGATTCCAGAGGTGTGGCTTTGCTGCAGGAAGAATGTCACTTAAGGAAGGCTTTCATTACTTAAGGTCTTACCATGCTCCTGGTTTGCTTTCTCTGCTTTGTGAATGTCATTGAACACGTGAACTTTGTGGCTGGAGAGATGGCTCAGTGGTTATAGAGCTCTGACTGCTTTTCCAGAGGACCAGGGTTTAATTCCCAGCACCTACATGGCAGCTCACAACTGTCTATGACTCCAGTTCCAGGGAATTCAACACCCTCACACAGACGTATATGCAGGCAAAACACCATTTCACTGAAATAAAATTAAATATTTTTTTTTTTTTTGTTTTTTTTTTTTGTTGTTTTTCGAGACAGGGTTTCTCTGTGTAGCTTTGCGCCTTTCCTGGAACTCACTTGGTAGTCCAGGCTGGCCTCGAACTCACAGAGATCCGCCTGCCTCTGCCTCCCGAGTGCTGGGATTAAAGGCGTGCGCCACCACCGCCCGGCTTAAATATTTTTTTTTTTTTTTTTAAAGAAAGAAAAATGTCGGGGGAAAAACAAGAAAAGAAAGATGTGAGCTCTCGGCTTATTGCTGCGGCCACCACGCTTGCTGTAGCCACACTTCTGCTCCACGTGACGGGCCTTTATCCCTCTGGACCTGGAAGTCCAAATAGACTCTCTAAGTTGCTTCTGGTCCTGGTGTTTTTGTTTTTTGTTTTTTCTCAGCAACAGGAAGTAACTAATATGACCGCTGTCCATATGAAAAGGAAAAACGTGGAATGTTTTGTCCGATTCCAATTAGGTTGGCCTCTTATTCTGAGATCTAACAATTCTTTATACACCCTGGACAGGTCCCTAGCAGACATTTTCTTACCTTCATTCTTTCATCTACTGACCCATCTAATCTATTATCTATAAGTCTATCTCTCACCTCTAGCTATCAACCTCTGTGATATGACTTCTATCAACTACACCTATCATCTACCTCATCTCTCTCTCTTTTTGATTTTTTTTTTTTTGAGACAAGGTCTCTGCATAGCCTTGGCTATCCTAGAACACCATGTAGACTAGGCTGGCCTCAAACTCAAAGAGATCCTACTGACTCCGCCTCCTGAGTGCTGAGATTAAAGACTCACGGCATGCCTGGCTATTTCATCTATCTATTGTCTTTCTTTAGCTGCCCATCTCTGTCATCTGTCTGCTATTATCTGTTTACCTATCTGTCATCTATCTCATTATTCTTTATTATCTATATCTATCATTCTATCTATCATTCATCTGTCCTCTATTATCTTCCTTATCTACCTCTACTATCTATGTCTATCAATCATCTGTCTACCAACTTATTTTGTGGTATTGGAGAGGAAAACAGAGTTTCCTGGGTGGTTTTATTTGTTTATTTGTTTGTTTATTTTTGCCTGTGAACTTGACACAAGCTAGAATTAGCTGAGAAAAGTGAACCACAATTGAGAAAATGCCTCCATAAAATTGACCTGTAGGGCATTTCCTTAATTAGTGATTGATGCCCAGCCCATTTGGGCACCCCTGAACAGGTGGTCCTGGGAAGTATGAGCAGGCTGAGCAAGCCATGGGGAGCAAGCCAGTAAGCAGCACTCCTCCATGGCCTCTGCATCAGCTCCTGCCTTGAATTCCCGCCCCTACTTCCTTCCACGATGAACAGTGATGTGGAAGCATTAGAAGACACAAACCTTTCCTCCGCAAGTTGCTTTTGGTCATTGTAGCTAAGTTTTCCTGGTCCTGCCTGGCCCACGGTCAGGACAAATCTCTCTCACCCGCCAGTCCCACAGCTGCTCAGACCCGACCAAGTAAACACACAGAGACTTATGTTGCTTCCAAACTGTATGGCTGCAGCAGGCTTCTTGTTATCTAGTTCTTCTATCTTAAATTAACCCATATGTATTAGTCTATAAGTTGCCTCATGGCTTGTGGCTTACTGGTATCTTACATCTCACTTTTCATGGTGGTGGCTGGCAGTGTCTCTCTGCCTCAGCCTTCCACTTCCCAGAATTCTCCTCTCTCTTTGTCCTGCCCATACTTCCTGCCTGGCTACTGGCCAATCAGTGTTTTATTTATTAACCAATCAGAGCAACACATTTAACATACAGAACATCCCACAGCAGGTCATGGTGTTTTGTCACAGCCACAGGAACCCTAATTAAGACACAGGGCTTGTTTCATGCTAAACATACAGTCTACTACTCCCACTGAACTGTACTCTGAATTCTTAGTCCTTCATTTCAAATTCTTTTTTAAATTTCATGTACATTGGTGTTTTACCTGCGCGTATGTCTGTGTGAGAAAGTCCGATCCCCTGGAACAGGGGTTACAGACAGTTGTGAGCCAACCGGGTGGGTGCTGGGAATTGAACCCAGGTCCTCTGAAAAAGCAGTCAGTGGGTTCTTAACCACTGAGTCATTCCCACAGCCCCCCTTCTTCATGTTTTTAAAGCTATACCCCAGCCTTAATGTTTTTAGACACCCACACACACATATACTTGTTCTCATATTATATATATGTATATACAGAAATATAGTCTCCAGATATCCATATCATATAATATATATGTGCAATTAAGATATGCATATGATGAGAATTAAGAAGCCAATGAAAAATTAACACATGTTCAGGAGACATTTTTCAAAAGTTCTGATAGGCTCCCGGAATTCATTTCAAGTGAGCATCCAACATAAGCTCCTAATTATTGCATTCTTCCTTAATGGCATTCTGGGTCCTGAAGCTCATCGGAGTCAGCATTGCCTGGAGCCTCCCTTATCTGGAGCCTCCCTTACCTGGAGCCTCCCTTATCTGGAGCCCACTGTGGCTCCCACCTCCACTTCCATGGTGTGTGCTTTGAAGCACAAACATTTTAAATTTGATAATGAAACCCATTATTTTGTACAAATAACATAAGCTAATACATTTTTAAAAAGTTGGATGCAATCCAATTTTCTATTACTAATTAGTGCTTTATCCATCTGTTCTGCCTCCACCCTCGTCCCATGTAATCATCTCTCCACAAGCAGCCAAAGGAGTAGTGCATGTGTGTGTGTGTGTGTGTGTGTGTGTGTGTGTGAGTGTGCAAGTGTGTGTGTGTGTGTGTGTAGACAGGAGTAGATGTTGGATTGTTAGGTGTCTCCCATTGCGCTCTACCTTCTTGTTTTAAACACGGTCTCTCTCTCTCTCTCTCTCTCTCTCTCTCTCTCTCTCTCTCTCTCTCTCTCTCTCTGTTGTTGTTTTTGAGACAGGGTTTCTCTGTGTAGCTTTAGGACCTGACCTGGATCTCACCCTGTAGACCAGGCTGGCCTTGAACTCACAGAGATCTGCCTGCCTCTGCCTCCCCAGTGCTGGGATTCTCTGTCTAATGCTCCGTGAAAGCAGTGTGGGCCAGACCACCGATCCTGCCCAGAGACTTCCAGAAAGAATTGAAAAGAACCTTGGGTTTGGTTCTGAAGGATGACCAAGATACTTCCCAGGTGGTCAAGAGGAAGGAAGTCCTCTAGGACAAGGGTTTGGTGTAGTGGTATGAAGGTGTGTGAGGATGAGGAATCTTGCAATGGGTACCAAGATCAACAACAGCCAGCAAGTCCCACGGGAGGCAGATGAGAAGCGTTCGGTTGGGAGACACAGAGGGGCACTGTCAGCTGGGGAAATGGCAGCTTGAAGTGGCGAGGGTGTGGCTGACACTCTCCAGTGAGAAAAGCCAGTGTATTGCAGATACTTCAGTGTGGGACCATTGGGTGTGGGTTGCAACTTCTCAACTCTCTACCTAGGGCTACGGGTGGATGAGTGCTGTGGCTGGGAGTCGAGAAGTTTCACAGCCGTTTCACATCTGAATTCCATAGAAACCTCATCTGTCGTGAAATAGCATGCTGTTGATGTCTCCACTGTGGGACAAGGTCAAAACCATCCTAAGTTGAAGGGCACTACAAACACAGGCAGGGTTTAGAGGTGTTTAGGGGCCACAGTTTGCTAATCTGCGTCAGAGGGTAGCTGGGAGAGGGACTAAGGAAAAGGCTGGGAAAGACCTCAACGGAGGAGCTTCAATTTTACTTCATAGACAATAGGAAAACACTGGGGGAATTTCCGCCCCGTCTAAAGGGGTGGGGGAAACTGTGGATGGGCCCACATCCTGGGGGAAGAGTGATCGGTTTTGTTTTGTTTTGTTTTTGAGAAAGGATCATTATATAACCCAGTCTGGCTTCCAATTGGCTCTGTAGCCCAGGCTAGCTTCAAATTCAGAAGCTTCTATCTCAGCCTCCATGGTGTTGGGATTACAGGCATGTACCACCACCACACCCCGCTATGGAGACAGTGATTTGATAAAAGAAAATAAATAATTGCAAGCACCCTTTAAAAGCTACTTTAGCAAAAGCTATTTGCATATGGAGTGCTAATTAAACTTTTTTTTAAATTTGGTTTGTTTTGCTTTTCCCTGAAAACAAACCCCACCCTCCGCTGCACTTGTCTGTAGGATTCTAAGTGCTTGAAAACAACAAATGGCATCTTCTTAATTACCGTAAGACAAATAATATTTATTAACACAAGTTGCTTTTGCTTGCATAACACAGTGTATCGGGGCTTTAATCCTATATGTATTTACTTCCAGGAGCATGACTCAGAGTTGGGAGGGCCACTACTCTGCTGCTGTTGGCAGGGAAGACAGAAGTATATTCAAAGTGGGCCTAGTCTCTGAAAATAGATGAGTGTGTATGCACATAAATACGCTGCTTTTGTGTTTGCTGACTTAAAGGATAGACAGCACACAGCCTGCAAAGCATTCCAAGCTATCTACTCTTCTATCATGAATCCTGTACAGCTAATTGATTCTCATAGATGCTTTCATTGATTTTTTTTTTTTTTTTTTTTGCCAAGTGCCTGCCTCCGTATCCAGTCTGCAGTTTAACCATGACTGGACAAAATAAGATGTAGAAGAAATGTTTATTATCCAACTCAGTCAGCAAAGAACTTGCTGGTGTCGTTGACAAATGAGCCCAGCTCGGGCGTCAATGCCAGTTGGCATTTGTTTATGCTAATGAGCGAGCAGGGCTGAAGTGAACTGGTAAAGATGTCTGCTGTAACTTCATCTGCCCAGAATACTAGTGGCCTCCTTGCTTCATCCTAACACAGTTGGCAAATATTGGCGGCCTTTTCTCTCAAACGCCTTCATTACTCACACGCGGTTGCTGAACGCATTCACAACACTCGGCTGTTTGCTTGGCTTAGACAATCAATGAAACAGTGACTTCAGCCATGATTAGCCGTTACCCATTTCTCTGGTGTAAATACTCCTAACGAGCAACTTCAAGCTGCCACAGTATGGAACTGGGAGACGGGCCGCACCACCACCACCACATAGGATTTCTATCAGACACGAGAGAGAACCCAAACCCACGGCATTCCTGAATGTGTGACAGAGGCTCGCTTGACTGTCCTCCACAGTCTCCAGCTGAAAGCTCCTTGATCTAGACCGCCTCTTCCATGTCAGTGCCCAGAGCTGAGAGACCTCATTAAGATGACAAAAATGAACAGTCCTCGTGTGCTGTTCTGTAAAATTAGCTGAGAATAGAACTGCTGGTCACCCATGCTCTAAAATCAGTTCTGAAGGCGGATCTAGAATACACTCCTTTTCACATGTCTAGGCCTAAGCTGGGCACGGTGGCACATGCTTTTAATCCCAGTACTCAGGAAAGCAGAGGCAGGCAAATCTCTGTGAGTTTGAGGCCAGCCTGGTCTACAAGAAAATTCCAGGCTAGCCAGGAACAAACACAAATGCCTAGGCCCAAGGATGAGCTTCTCAGCAGTAACATACCTCTTAAGGTATTTTCTTTGTGTTGACATAAACACAAAACATGGGTAATGGTAATGAATGGAATGCTAGAGTGGAGAAGTACTTTAATTAGGAGTTCATCTAGGGCCCAGTTCAGTGGAAGAACACTGGTTAAAAGGGGTGTGTGCAGAGAGATGGTCCAGTGGTTAAGAGCAGGTTCAATTCCCAGCATGGATGCTTACAACCATCTGGAATTCCCGTTCCAGGGCATCCGATGCTCTCTCTGGTCTCTGAGGGCACAGAATACATGAACACAAAACACCCGGACATATATACACAAACATTCAAAATGTGTGTTTGTGTATTTTAAAGCTGAGGCTGAAGGGGTGATAACTCAGCAACTAAAAGCACTTGTTGCTCTTCCAGAGGAATGGAGTTCAGTTCCCAGCACCCACATGGTGGCTTACAACATATCTGTAAGTCCAGTTCCAGGGCATCGGACACCTCTCTGGTCTTCACGTACACCAGGCATACAGACGGTGCACATACATGCAGACAAAACATCCAGGCACATAAATAAACATGTCTTTTTTTGTTTTGTTTTGTTTTGTTTTTTTTGAGACAGGGTTTCTCTGTGTAGCTTTGCGCCTTTCCTGGGACTCACTTGGTAGCCCAGGCTGGCCTCGAACTCACAGAGATCCGCCTGGCTCTGCCTCCCGAGTGCTGGGATTAAAGGTGTGCGCCACCACCGCCCGGCGTCTTTTTTTTTTTTTTTTAAAGCTAGTGCAAGCAACTCTTATTATTTTGTATATGAATTAGCTGCAGTTCAAGGAAGTTAATTTACTCAGCAAAAAGCAGACACCAAGATCTAGATTTTCGTTTGTATTATAATTGTGCACGGCCAAACCCTTCCCTGCCTCTGACCTCAGTGCATGAAAGTGAGGCAAGTGACGGATACCTACAGCTGTATTTCACCTTGGGAACAACTAGGGCCCTTTCACAACATTCTTTTTTTTTTTTTTTTTTTTTTTTTTTGAGGGGGGAAGTACTTTATAATGTGGAGGAGAAACTCCCAGCAATGCTTCCCTGTTCACATCACGGGGTGCTTTGGGGTGTTTTATTTTATTGCACCATTTACCACACAGTTCCTTTAAGGCACAGACCTGTTCATTCCAAGTGTAATCATTTACAAGTTCACAGCAAGCGAACTGGAAAGGTCTGCAATAAACCAGTCAACCCTCCAGAAAAATCCGGAGTGAAGAACATATCTTTCCCCCTTGGTCAGAGAGTGAAAAGTCTCAGGGTCTTGTGATCTCCCCAAGGCAGAACCCTCCTTTGGAAAATGGCCCGTCAGCCAGTCTTGGCGGGCTGCCGGGTGTGGGCTTTCCTCTCTTTCTTCTTCCTTTTGGTTTCCTGGGATGAATTAATTTAAAAGATGAAGGTTCATGTTGACTCACGGAATCAGAGGTTTCAGTCCTCCATCACTCGACCCTGCTGCTTTGGGGCCCGTGGTGAGGTCTGACATCATGGAAGGCTGCCGTGGAGGGAAGGCGCTCACTTCGTGATAGAGGGGAATCAGAGCGAAGCTGGACTCCGGGGTCCTCTTCCAGAACAGGCCTTCGAGGTCTAGTAACACTTCCTCCCACAAGACCCCGCCTGCTCCTGGTTCCACCTCCCAGAAGCACCATCAAGAGGATGCTGATGGTGTCTTCGAGGCCTGCGTGCTTTTATCCAGAACTTTTTAACTCTTCGAAGTCTCAAAACAATCTAGTTATTGTTTCTGAGAGAGGCTCTCACTGTGTAGCCCAGGCTGGCCACTAGCTCACAGAGACCTACCCAAGTGCTGGGATTAAAGGTGTGTGCCCCCATGCCTGCCAAGGATCTAGTTTTAAAAAAAAAATAACTCTCAGTGATGAAGTTGATTTGAAATGGATTAGTATGAACTTAGCACAGTTCTTGTTTATCCCAACATATCCATAACAACAAACCCTTTCTCTGCTACTGTTTGGATGTGGTTTGTTTCCTAATGGTTCACAGGTTGGAGCCTTGGCCTTGGTGGAGTGGTGGGACTGAGGAGGGGCCTAGTTGGAGGTTGTTAGGGCATTGTGGGTACTATCCTTGGAAGCATTAAGGTAGTTTTCTTGGGACCTCTATTAGTTCTCATGAAAGAGAGTTTATTATAAAACAGAGTTTGACTCGGAATCAGTGATCAGTCCTATGGGTAGGCATAATGTCGTCATTATACTACCACCTACCACAGGCCACATGGATGGGCCTGCTTGATCCTAGACTTAGGCTTCTGTCCTGGTTTGTTTTCTGTTGTGATAAAACTCTGAACCTGAGGAAGGAAAGGGTTTATCTGGGTTACAGGTTAGAGACCCTCAACCAGGAAAGCCCAGGCAGGAACCTGGAGGCAGAAACTGAAGCAGAGGCCATGGAGGAGTGCTGCTTAGTGGCTTGCCCTTCTTGGTCTCTGCAGGTCCTTTCTTACACAGCCCAGGCCGACCTGCCTAGGGATGGTACCGCCCACAGTGGGCTGGGTCCTCCTAAATCAATTAGCAGTCAAGAAAATACCCTACAGACGTGCCGGCAGCCAGTCTGATGGAGGCAATTCCTTGAGATTCCCTCTTCCCAGGTACATCTAGGTTTGTATCAAGTTGACCAAACTAACAGTGCAGCCTCCAAAGCCGTTGGCTAAAGATCTTCCCTTCTTCACCCTGCTGTTTTTACTGTCTTCCAGGGCTAGAGATGAACCCAGGCCCTGCACGCGACAGACAAGCGCTAGCACTCCACTCTACCACTGGCTGCAGCCCAGCCAACCTCCTCCTCTTTATAAATTTCCCAACCTCAGGTAAGTTAGAGGGACAAAAACAGACCCATACACCAAGGTTAAATAAAAAGGACCGTAGTCTTTTATATGAATTATAATAGGCCCAAAGACATATGGATTCAGATTTTCTCAGACTTTAAAAAGTAACATAGTTTACATGGTATACATTTTGAACCAACCCTTGCTGGGGTCTAGGACAATCCTCTATAATCAAATGCATTTATATTTTACAGTAAAACATACATATATGGAGTGGGGTAAGGGAGATTATATGTTGCCTCAATTCAGTTTCAGGACAATTTTATCATTAAGAGTTACTATTATTTGTTTTTTCAAGACAGCCCTGTGTAGCCCTGGCTGTCCTGGAACTCACTCTGTAGACCAGGCTGGCCTCGAACTCACAGAGATCCACCTGCCTCTGCCTCCCAAGTGCTGGGATTAAAGGCGTGCGCCACCACTGCCCGGCAAGAATTATTTTTTAAAATAGATTTTTTTACAGGGATTTTTATATATTTAGCAGTGTCCAGGCCTCTAATAGCAATATCAACATCCCCTTCTCTTGATGCACTAAAAATATGTAAATGAGGGTTGGGGAAGTTGCTTGGTGCTGAGGCATGTGTCTAGTAGGTTCAAGGTTTGGGGTTTGATCCTTAGTACTCCACATAGAGGAGTGTATGTGTTTGATTTGTGTTCAACATTTAAACTTTAAATTATGTGTGTGTGTGTGTGTGTGTGTGTGTGTGTGTGTGTGTGTGTATGATAGACACGTTGACTAGTTCGACTGGTAGCATAGACTAGTAGGTTAGTTGACTGGCAGTCAAGAAAAACACTTATTTCTCTTAACTTCTCAAGGCATCACAGAGACCAGCCCTCCAAAAATAAAACCTTGAAAAGTTTCAGAGAATACTCTTCAACTTCAGAGAAGAACAAAAGGGCTTACCGGTGGGAAAGGAGGCAGAGGGGGCAGAAAATGACCTTGTGAAGGAGAGGGTGCACCATAACAAAACACCCTTGAGTTACACAAGCCTGTCATAGGGAGTCCCAAGACACTAAAGGGATGGAAATGCACAAAGAGGTAAAGAGATGCACAGTTTGGGGATTGCTTGCCGAGCCCGGCAATAAAAGCTACCCACTGGCACAGCTATTTTTGAAAGCTGAATTTCATTCACACGCAGTGCTAGTGAAATACCAGAAGCCATACATAATGTCTGACCCCAGCGGCCACCTCATATGGCACATTTGTACATGGAAGCTTTAAAAAGATGGACTGGTCCACTGCCCTACGGAGGCAAGGAGACCACTTTTGCCTCCCACCTTGGGTTTCCAGTGTCTCTCCCACACTCCCTCCTCTTCAGACACACGGAAGGTTTGTTTGTTTTTTTTTTTGTCATGTTTCTCTAGGCTGTATGGTTGGTGGCAGCGGTAACCATGCCACACGCCTGGTGGAGTTGCAGGGTGTGATTTTTGACTGGTGTCTTCAGAACCTCTGGGTTTTTAAATACAGCTGAGAATTTCCTTACGAGCTATAAAAGAAAAATGTGTACTAATTCAGACATTTTATTGGTCCAGTCTTGTCTGGGATCGGCCAGCTGCTGTTTGCAGTACTTTCTCATGGAACCATCAGGAACAATAGCTCCTCTCTTCTCATTCGCTACCTCTGGTCCCCTGGGGTCCCCCTCCTCTTTCGACAGCAATATTGCAGTGCGTTCTGCGGTCTTCGTAGGGTGAAGCCTGGCCTAGCACCCTAAAACTGTTTACAAGTAACTGGGAGTACCCCTAATTGTACAAGCTTGAGGAACACGAGGGGTGGGTTGGGGGGTGTAGAAGTACTCTTCCAAGTCCAAGGGCATAGGTTTGAATGCCCATTTGGTCTTATAGCTTGTGATCTCTGGCCAACTCTCTATGATAATACCCATCTTTACCAGGTTCCTTAAAGCTGTGAGGAGGTGCACAGACACTACATGGTCCCAGTGACTGCATCCCAAACTGTCCCCGCGGCTAGTCCCGCTAGGGTGCAGGAGGGGTGCCTCGGCGGACCTCACCGTCCTGTAGGGGGCGAGCTATCCACACTGTCCTCTCGCTTGGCCCTTCCTTGAGGTTCTGGTGGGGGAATTCGGGGGGTTCTTCGCCTAGGGGTGGAACTGGGGAGCAGAAGGGTGGGTTTCGTTCCGGCCGGGAGGCCGGAGCCCCGGGTCCCAGTTCACGCCCACCGGGAAAATGTGAGCCAGAGCTCCGGACTGGCGCGGCGAGGCCGGGGCACCGCGGCCCGGGAGTGGGGCGCGCCCTCGAACCCCTGCACGCCCCGAAGGCAGACACAATGCGGCGGCCCGCAGGGGCTGGCGGGCCCCGAGCGCGCACCTCCCTCCTTCCTGCGGCCTCTGCTTCCCGGCGGCGCGGTGGCGGCGAGCGCGCCGATTGGTGGCCGGGCCTGCGCCCCGCCCCTCCCCGCGCCCCGCCGGCCACCGCCCCCTGGCCGGGACCCGCCCCTCTCCGCGGGAGGCGTCGGGGCCCGCGGCTGGGTGGCGGGCAGTTCCCGCCAGCTGTGCGCGCCCGCGTCTGGGCTCGCTCGGAGGAGAGGACGCGGCGGCGGCGGCGGCGGCGGCGGCGGCGGCGGCGGCGGCGGCGGCGGCTCCCGGAGCCCAGCGGGCAGAGCTGCGGGCTGCGCGCGCCCCTGCTCCCGCCGTGCGTCCCCGCGGTGGCTCCCGCGCCCTGCGGCGGCGGCTCCCGCGCCCCGCGCTCCCCTTTGTCCGCGGCCCCCGAGCGGCGGCGGCGGCGGCGGCGGTGGGGCCGGAGCCCCGCGCCCTGGGCGACTGAGGCGGCGGCGGTCCGCGCCCGCGCGCCGCGGCGATGCCGGACCAGATCTCCGTGTCGGAATTCGTGGCCGAGACCCATGAGGACTACAAGGCGCCCACGGCCTCCAGCTTCACCACGCGCACGGCCCAGTGCCGGAACACCGTGGCGGCCATCGAGGAGGTGAGCGGCAGCCTCGGCGAGCCGGGCGGGCGGCTCGGGCCGCGGGGACCGCGCGGCGCCCTGGGGACCCGCGGGCGTCCGCGCCTGCTCTGCCTGATGCCCAGTGCCCGCCGCCCGCGCCCACACCCGGGAAAAGTTTCTGGTCCCCCAGAGCCGGACGCGGCCCGGCCAGCAGTGCCCGACACAGAAGCCCTTTGTTCCCAGAGAGGTGGCTCTGGGGAGAGGCTGTTTGGCCACCTTGGGCCTTTTTGGGGGGAACCCTCCTGTCTGCTCTCATTTCCCTCGCAGGGTTCCAGGGACTTTGCCTCATACCTCGGCGAGGTCAACTTCGGCCGCAGAGTCCGTGGCGGCTGCGAGCCGGGGACCCCCGCGCGCGCTGCAGCCCCGGGTGGTGGGTCCCCCCGCGCGGACCTCTCCAACTTGTTCCAGAAGTGGCCCGGCGAGGGCAGCTGTGCTCCCTGAGCCAGCCGCGGAGCAGGTCCAGGGGACCCCGAAGCTGCTCAGGCAGGGGTGCCATCCCAGCCCGGGAGGCCTGGCAGCTCCCACTGCGTGCCGCAGAGCAGCGCTGCCGCCGGGGTGGTGGAGAGCCGGCGCTTTGAGGTCCGAAAGGCCCTTGGTGGCCGCTCCTGGACTACCTGTGTGGTGCCTATGGGCACTGTGGTCATCTCCCTTGCCCTTAACCTGGAAAAGACCTGATTTTTAGTAAGGGCTTTCAAGGTGCAGAGTCATTGTATTGAACTACTAAGCAGCGAGCTCTCCAGATCCTGGGGAAGATGGACTGCAAGAGCCAAGCAGCTTGGCTTGAAAATTAAAGCAGGCTTGGACGGGGCTGTGTGAGTCCCTGGGCCACGGCTGGCTGTGTGGCTCGGGACAGCCACACTTCCCATCATTTTCTTCACCTTCCAAACAGAATCTAGGGTGGCATCATTTCGGCTTCCTAGGTTTTGTGCGCTCAGCAGGGCTCACAATAGGTAACTGGCGAACAAGACACACGTGTAGCGGTAGTGAACCCGTGACTGACTGCCTTGCTTTAATTTTAAGATTGGGGTGGATATTCTAAAATACCCATGCCAGCGGTTGGCGGAGGGGCGGGGGGGGGCGGGGGTAGACGTCTTCAGAGAGCTTTACATGAAGCAGTGTCATTAAATCCTTTCCCCCCTTGCTTGAACGCAGCATCTGTTATTAAGAATCGCCTGGAAAAAAAAAATAATGTAGACGGTTCAGCGTAAAATATTTTTCTTTGAAGACATACACAGTCAAGACGAGACTCAGTGGAAAATACTGGCTTCAGCATCCTGCTGTCGGCTCCTCCTCCTCCTCCCTCTCCCCTCTCCCGAAAGGTCTGCGATGTGAATCTTGTGTAGTGAGTTCAGTGTCGTGCTGATTGCTGTGTTCTGTCTACTCCTGTCAACACGGCTTAAACACGGTCCCTTTAGAGGAGGCAGGTGGGATGAGGCATGGGAAGTCGTTTCTCCCCCCTCCCCCCCACCATAAGTGCCAGTTGAAAAGCCCTCGGAAAATAGTCACAATGTTTTGAAAATACGTCATCAGTGCTTATGGAAATGACTGCATTTCAGAAGGTAGGAGCCCTTCTTTGGGAAGGGACTTGGTGTGTGATGTCCTTAAAAGAAAGCGTGTGGTTATAAAGTCATGACGCCCTCCTCCCTGAGGTGTGTCCGTTAGTGTTGTCAGCACGGGCAGACATTGAAAAGCCAGGCAAAGAGGAGTTGCCCTTCAAGTTGGCATACCCTCTCCCTGATTAATTTTAGTTTACAGCGGATGAACTCAAAGCTGCTTTTGCACGCAGTGCAGGAGATTACCCAGGAGCTCAGTTACTGAGTAGATTGAAGAGAGACTGGATTTGGTCATTTGGTTAAATTGCAGGCCTGCTTCACATGCCTCCTAAGCAGAGAATGGGTTCAAGTTGCAGATGGGGAAAAAGTTAAAATCATTGCAGGCTTTATCCCATTTTATGCAAACCCAGTGTCCACTCTAGGGTGATAGTGTGTATGAACTCGGAGTTGGAGGTAATTTGGAAACTGAAAGGGCTCAGCATGGATTGCCTAGAATAATGCTCTTTGCCCTCGTAGATTAGTTACTGTTCATTTCCATTACAAAAAAAAAAATTGTTGTCTGATGTCATAACAGACGATGCTCACAATACTTGGATTTCAAGCAGGCATCTTTTTTTATGCTGAGATGAGACATGAGCGTGGGTACTGTGAAGCGTAAAGTTATGTATTTCACAGAAATAAGATTAAAAAATACAAGCAGCCCCCTGCCCCCCCCCCCCCCCCCCCCCCCAGCTTAAATGAGTTCTGGATTTAAAGCTGATAAACTTCGGCAAACCTGTTCGATTCCCATGGAGGCTATGACCGGTCATAGTCGGTGTCTGACTGAAATAGACTTTCTTGGTTTGTATACCTGTAGTTAGTGTATCGGCAGTTCTAATGCTTGCCCGGTAATTCACATGTCATACCTGTTGTGTTGAATCTCTGTCCCTGGTTTGTAGATGAGGGAGGAACTTGGGGCTAGGAGAGAGTGATTTTGAGCTTGGCTCCATGCTGCTCTCACAAACTACACGGCTGTATCTTAAACTTAGTAGTGGTGCTTTCTCTAAATTGTCCCTTTGCCTGACCAGCCACCTTCAGGTCAGGTCCCATCACTTTCCAGTTGTGTGAATTGGGATGAAACACACTCCCCCCCCCTTCCTTCTTCCATTTTTCAGTCCTAGATAATCATATCTGTCAGTTTCTGAAGATGGTGGTAAAGGTATGTGGTACAGTACCTAAAAGACAACTGACCTAGTAAATGCTGTTTTTAACCAGATTTCACTGTAGTTAATATACAGACCTGGAGGGAGAATGGGGCAAGGGGGGAGGAAATGGATGAATGGCCGAAGGCCTAAAAGTAAGTGGAAAATGTCTGTGTGTGTGTGTGTGTGTGGGGGGGTGTATGGTGCACTGGATGATGGTTTGTGTGCTGATTGTGGGTGTGTGTGGTGTGTATGGTGTGTGTGTGGTGTGTATGGTGCACTGGATGGTTTGTGTGCTGATTTTTTTTTTTCGTGTGTGTGTGTGTGTGTATGGTGTGTGTGGTGTGTATGGTGCACTGGATGGTTTGTGTGTGTGCTGATTGTGTGTGTGTGTGTGTGTGTGTGTGTGTGTGGTGTGTATGGTGCACTGGATGGTTTGTGTGCTGATTGTGTGTGTGTGTGTGTGTGTGTGTGTGCGTGTGTGTGTGGTGTGTGTGGTGTGTATGGTGCACTGGATGGTTTGTGTGTGTGCTGATTGTGTGTGTGTGTGTGTGCGTATGGTGTGTGTGGTGTGTATGGTGCACTGGATGGTTTGTGTGCTGATTTTGTGTGTATGGTGTGTGTGGTGTGTATGGTGTGTGTGGTGTGTGTGGTGTGTGTGGTGTGTATGGTGCACTGGATGGTTTGTGTGCTGATTTTGTGTGTGTGTGTGTGCGTGTGTGTGTGGTGTGTGTGGTGTGTATGGTGCACTGGATGGTTTGTGTGCTGATTTTGTGTGTGTGTGTGTGTGTGTGCGTGTGTGTATGGTGTGTGTGGTGTGTATGGTGCACTGGATGGTGTGTGTGTGTGCTGATTGAGGCCAGAGATTGATGTTGGATGTGTTCCTCCATCAATTCTCCATCACCTTTCTCGGCTCCCCCTCTGGGGGTGGGGGTGGGATGGGGTATAGCCACTGCCCTAAGTTTTCACCTGCGTCCTGGGCTTGCACACTCAGCTCCACCAGCTTGTGTGGCAAACACTGTACCCTCCAAGCCGTCTTCCCAGCCCCCACGCATCCCCTCTCACAAGTTATTGTCTTGGTAGCCGGTTGAGAGTGTGGCTGGCTTGAAACTTTTCACGTGGTGAAGACGTTCTCTGGGTGAAGTTATATTTTTGCACGGGTTTTTGCAAACTTCTCCAAGTGCGGACCCGCAGCTGGCGTCAGCTTTGCGCTTTTGGAAATACACGGGGAGAAAGCAAGTAGCTGTGGCGTAAATCTGAAACCTGAGCCGCCCCCCTCCAGCTTTACCTGTGTCTCTTAGTTTCTTTAAAAGCCTCTGGTTACTTCAGAATACTCTCGAAACAGAGAAGACTTGTGCATGCTCTTGGGATGTGCACTGTGAGACACGTCTTCATTGCTCCCCCTTTTCTGCCTTGTTTATTTGGCATTGATGGAGTTTTAAAAATAAATTTGATATTGACTCTTAAGTATTAACATTTAATCTACTTCCTTCCGGGGCCTTGATTCTCTGGCTCTGTTGTCCTTGGTTACCTTGGAAATCTCTTTGCTGTTCTGGCTGAGAAGGGAGCGTGAACATCTGGACTGTGCAGACTCCCAGGGGGCCTGCTGTTCGTGGGGCCAGGCTCCGCCCAGCAGTTCCACTGGGAACTGGCCTTGCCTTTGATTCTGAGTTGTGACTTGTTTGTAAACCAGCTCCTTCAAAATCCCAGGCTTACAGGTTTTGCATCCATGGTCAGAAGGACGCCACCTCTTTCCCAGTATATTTGTGTTCTTGGAAGGGAACCTCTGTAGGCCCACAGGACACCGTGTTATACTGCTCTGAAATTTGCAGTGATGTATCTGTGGACCATTTTGAGTCAGGTAGAATGGAATTATTTTTTCCCCTCAGCTGAATTCAATTTCCATTTTATGATTGGTAGAAGCACTACTAATACTATTAATACTATTAGCAGTACTATTACTATTACTGCCATTACTAGTATAATGTTATTAGTGCTATTAGTACTGTTAATAATGTTAGCAGTGCTAAGACCACTCCTTGTGGGTTCTAGCTCTTGATGCATGGAATCCTGCAGTATGCTGGATGAAAGGATCCCTTCTCTTTGAAAAAACTTGCGGTCCAGTGGGAGAAACATCCTCCAGACCAATGAGTGCACTCAGGTGACAGGCCATGTCTATGAGGAAGGACATCTAGGGTGATTGATGTAAAGCCCAAGGCTGAGACTGCTTAGGTGTGGTCAGGGCTGTGGGTGGAGAGGGCCTTGAATGGAGGTGTGTCACAAGTGGCCCCAAGGTAGTTTAATCCGGTCTTCCATATCTGTGTCTCTACCTTTGGTAAATATTTACCCAGTCCTGAGCTGGTGACCAGCTAGGCCTTTGGTGGGATTTTCATATCCATTCTGTCTTCTTAGGCCAAGAATTTGTAGATGCCTTTCATGGTGGGGCACATAGATTCTGTTACTGTTGGCCCAAGAATATAGTCAGCTCCTTGGCCAAATCAGTCTGCCTCAAATGCCTGGTAGCCACAAGGATTAATGGTGACTCTGCTGAATGATGCAGTTCTGCATACTTGCAGAAAGAATGTCCCGCTGGTGAGTGCAGTTTTAGACCCCTGAAACTGCAGAATGCTCTGCCAGACAGCATCAGCGTGGTGTGGAACTTGCAGAGAGCCTCGGATCCCGTGCTAGAGCTGTGGAATCAGAACCTGCATTTTAACAGCACTCCCAGGAGCTGTGTGCATCAGGATTTGAAAGTACCGTTCTAGGCTGCGGCACATCCACATCCTGGCCGTGTTTCAGAGTTGCCTGGTGGGGGAGGAGGCATCTTATGGACGGGAAGAACCTGGCCCTACACTCTCCTGAATTCTGATCGCATCTGATTTGGGTGAGGCCTGGAGCCTTTTTAAAGGGTTCCACCCTAGTCGATAATCGCTGATAGATGCGTGATTATGTAATGTGGTGCCAGGTGGCAATAAGTCAAGGTTATCCATACTATGGGGTAGAAAGTGGCTTTGGAAGGGAGGAAACTGAAATCAGGGCAGGCCTCTCTGCAGAGGTGACCTTTGAGCAGTCCAGAATGCAGAGGCTGCCTGCCTGAAAGATCTGTGAATAGAGGAGCCTGGGAAAAGACCTGAAGAGGTGAGTATTAGGGCAGATAGGCCTGTGGTCAGAGGCAAGGGAGGGGGAGGAGGGGCCAGCACACATCAGGCTTTGCC